TCAATCTTGCAAGCTGAAGCAGGGAACTGCTAAGGCAGCTGCACCCTGGTGCGACCATCACAAACAAGAGACCCGAGAACTAGAAAGGCAAGGCTCACCACCCACTTATTCCTCCGCCTTTCAATTAGCCCCACATGTGATTATCGGCCAGGTTGGCACAATTAACTAACTCACACCCATTTGTCTTCAGCAATCTTATCATGGAGGTGAGCACACAATGATATGATTTTTTGCTCTTTGATGCCTGATAACTGATCCCTTCAGCACCTTGTGTTCTTCCATGTGGGCTTTGTTGCTTCTGAGATAGATGGCCGCTTGTTTACCTTCAAGCTTTTAAGACCCCAGACGCTATGTCTTGATAGCTGGGCACCATCAGCTTTCTTCACCACATTTGCTTATTCACCCGCTTTGTCTTCAGCAGTTGGATACACCAACACTTGTACACATGTTCATAGTAGTCTTATTCCTATTATGCATAATTTGTGATATATTATTTTAAATCTATATATTTATAATTCAACTATTAGAATAGTAAGAAACTGGAAATAGCCAAAATATCTTTCAACAGCTAAATGGAAAAACAAGAGCATATTTTAAATGTATCAAAATAATCACTCTTCAGCAATATAAATGAACAAATAACTGATCTACCCAACATGGATGCGCACAAATAATGATGTTGAGTAAAGTAAGACAGAAAAGATTGCATCCAGCACGACTCCAGGCCTAAAAAGGGGCCAGAGGTCCCGTGACGGATGGACTACAAAGCAGCACAGGGACCTTTCAAAGGCAATGTACATCTTCAGTGATTCCGGTGGTGGATTAATGGCTCATTGGACTATGCCCTTTAAATCGGTGTCATTTATTGTACATAAATGATACTCAATAAACTTTGGTGGGTTTTTCTTTTTAATATAAGAACATTGGGGGGAGTAGGGAGGGAGGGGGAAAAATGAGGAGCTGATACCAAGGGCTCAAGTAGAAAGCAAATGTTTTGAGAATGAGGATGGCAACAGATGTACAAAATGTGCTTGACACAATGGATGGATGGATGGATGGATTTTGATCAGAGTTGTATGAGCCCGTAATAAAATGATTCAAAAAGAAGAAGAAGACCCTTACAGTGATAGGAAGAGGGACAGACTCACCTGGATTTGTCACGACAAGTATCTTACAGTCAGGGCTTTCATTCACTATGTGGGGGATGACTGCTTTCATAATATTCACATTACGCTGGACCAGGGACAGGCGGCTCTCTCCTTTCTGCTGCCGGGCACCTACTGTAACAATAACTAGTTTGGAGTTCGCAGATACACTGTAATCTAAAAAGGAAACAAAAGATGATATTTGGATCAAAATTGCTGTAGTCGCCGCCTAATCTCATTAAAAGGCCATTCTGAGTTTCCGGTATTCAAATACTTATCCACCTCCCTCACCCTCTCCCCCCGAGCATCAGACTTCCCATGTAGTACTATTCTCTTGAATACAACCTAAATGAAACTTGTCACCATGTGTGAAAATGGCACAGGGGCCACATCTGTCCTCTTTGGCTCCACAAGGTAGAAGCAGAATGCAGGTCCACATCAGCCCACTGCCCCCAGCAGTGTAAGCCATGCCTCCACCCTCCACCCTGCTTTCGCGAGTCCTGCCCCAGCATTCCACTTCTCTGCCGGGTTTGAGGAGTCCTTGCAACAGTAACACACAGACCTCCACACAAAACTCACAATTATGGAGGTTTATTAGGAAAGTCAACATGTTACCACAAGTCAGGAAGTGTAATCAGTAAGGCTACAGTCACTGGTCCACAGCAATGCCTACTTGTCCTCAGCAGCCTAGTCTCTCTGTGGTCCTAAGCCTCTTAGCCACATGGCCCTTGGGCTTCTGCCTCCCTGGGCTAAGAAGCCAGCTGCTGCTCCATCTTGCTGTCGCACAGTCTCAGGTCCCAGCAGTACAGCCCCTCTGCTCTGTCTCTGGTGCCTGTAGGCAGGGATGGCGAGCCTGCTCGGCTGCTGGTTCTTCTTCCTCAGTGGACCTGGGAGTCCCTTCCCTCTGCTGCCCAGCCGGCTTTCTTGGAGGAATGGCTGTGATGGAGGGTGGTTTTTGTCTTCCAGCAGACCACACCTCCAAGGAAACGATGTGTGGTGACTGGTTCACACCCTCCAGTAAGGCAGAGACTCCGAATAAATCCCAACTTCATCCTGTCTTTTAGCATAACAGAATTCCCCCCAAAATGGCATAGACCTAGTGGCTAGAATTTATAATACATCACAAAAAGGGATTACGGATAGAAGAGCCACAGTAAGCAATTCTACTTCACCACCCATTTTTTGCTTATTGTCACACAAATATCTCCAAATTTTCGTTAATAACAAAACCATATTCCCATTTTTTATTACTGCCAGAAGCAATACACCTTAGCTTTCTGACTACTTAGAAATGTCATATGCATAAAAGCTTAGAACTCTAAGAATGTATGCATTTGTTTCAGGATTCTAGGCATATGTTGGTTTGTAATTACGAAACTAATTATTAGACTTATTATTACAGTGTTGAAAAGTAAGGATGCTACTATGAGGATTAACGGGCACCTGACCCAAGCCATGGTATTTTCAATCGCCTCATATGTATGTGACAGTTGGGCATTGTCTAAGGAAGCCCTAAGGCGAATCAATGCATTTGAGTGAGGGTGCTTAGTGAAGAATCGTGAAAGTATCATGAACTGTCAAGAGAATGAACAAATCTGTCTTGGAAGAAGTACAGCCAGAATGTTCCTTAGAGGCAAGGATGGGGAGACTTTGTCTCACATACTTTAGACACGTTATCAGCAGAGACTAATCCCTGGAAGAGGACATCATGCCTGGTGAAGTGCAGGGGCAGCAAGAAAGAGGAAGACCCTTGACAAGATGGACTGACACAATGGCTGCAACCTAAGATAAGGACACTTGGGAGGAGGGCGCAGGACTCAGGTTGAGCATAGGGTCCCTATGGGTCAGAATGACTCAACGGCACAATAACAATTATTAGAGTATTTACTTCTATGACTACAGGGGCTGGGCTTGATATTACAAACAGATTCTTGATCCACAGGAAAATAAACTACTTCTAAATGTGATTAACAGTCTTAAAAAGATTTTTAAAAATAACATCAATAATAAAAACACAGTGTTATATTTGTTTTACCTATTGAACCCAATGTCGAGACAACTGTGGCTCACTACCAATGTTGAGTCAGAACTGATTGGATTGCATCCAACAGCAACAAAAACAATCTATGCTCACTTTTTTAAAGTTATTTTCCATATGAATGTCAAAACTAGCTACATTTTCTTCCTTTATATTCCATCTCTATTAAAAACAAAACCAAAAAACCCTTCCTTTTGTGTCATTTAAAGAAGGAAATATGTTTACCTTGTAAGATTGCATCTCCATCAACAGAAAGCTCCTGGAACTGAAAGTCCGCTGAGGAGAAGGCTGCCTGCCCTCAGGCCAGCAGCCTCCGGGATGGAGCAGGACCTGTGGAAAGCCCGCTGTGGGCCCGGCTGTGCTGCCCCAAGACCCCATCTCCTCCCGGCACCCGTTCCACACGTGGAGGCCAGCAGTGTCCCTGGCTCGCTGTCTTCAGCATGATAGTATTGTCTTGTATTGTCTCTGTGGATGATTTCCTTTCATTGTTTAAAGAGGATTCTGCACTCAAAATTTTTAACTTTATGCCCCAGCATGGTACAAAGGGTTTGAGGTTGTTTGTTTTGTTGTTGAGAGGGTTTTATTTTGTTTTCTTAAGTTGTTGTTAATTTGTCCTTTCCTCTGCCTTTTCATGTAGACCAGCTATTTGAAAGGGCAGATGATGGCTAAAAGTGTCATGCACAGCTTGTCTGTACATCACTTTTTGGAAACTTCCACCTTGGGCGGGAAATTGAATCATGGATTCTCCAGGCCAGCAGTGACTCTCGTCCTTCACCTTTTTGTCCGGGTTTGACTATTGTTTCTCCATTCAAATATGTGATCGTACTCTCTCTTTCCATAGAGAAGAGTTCTTATTTAATTTTTAAAGTTTTAAAAAAATAATAAAATTGAACATGCTTTCTCAAAAAAAAAAAAAAAAAGCCACTAGGAGAAAAAGGATTCAGCAAAGTGTCACGATACAAGATCCACATGCGAACACTAATTGACTTCCTCTATGCTTATAAGAGAAACTCTAAAAGGAAATCAGGAAAGCAATCGTATTTACCATAGCCTCCCAAAGAGAACAGACTTAGGAATCAATCTAACTGGGGACATAAAAGATGTGTGCAAACAAAAGGACAAAACACTACTGCAACAAGCCAAGCGAGCCACCCAGATAGAGAGAAAAGTTTACAGGATGAGGTCATACATGGTTTCTCCTCTCTTAATGACCGCCACAAAAATGACAACATACATATCTAGTTTATCAAAGGCCAGGATGAACCATCACCTTTACGGTTTCCTAATTATGTGAGGAACTTTTTTTTTGGTGAGGAACTTAGAATACCACTTAATTTAGCGCCATCGCTCTACATGCCAGATTTATCTACTATGATATTTTTGTTCTTTTAATCCCACAAGTCATTAAAGTTTTGTACAGCTGGTTTTTGCTTGGATTTATCTTCGCTTTTCCCATTTCCTGTGTCTTGGGTCTTGTAGCTGGTTCGCTCTCCTGTTCCCTGCAGCGCGGATGCCCGTTTCCTTCAGTTAAGCTCATACAATGACGATGGTGCTCATCATCTGAAAATGTCTTTATTTTCATTTCAACCTCATTCTTGAAAAAATGTTTTGCTGGGTTGATATTCTAGACTAGTCTTCACTCTTTCAAAAGTAAAATATCATTCCATTGTCTTTGAGCTTGCAATGCAATGGACAGATTAGCTTGTTTCCGTCCCTTTCTGAAGGTAATTGGTCTTATTTTTGACAATTCATACAATCTTTTGTTTTCATGTAACTTCCCAAGAATGTGTCTAGGTGGGTGTCTTGTATTGACCCTTTTTTAGGATTATTTGGTTTCTTGGCTCTGTGGGGTTCATCATTTGTCAAAAACTCTCAATCATAATTTTCAAAATATTACCTCTTCCGGCTGACATTTCTGATTAAATGTATACTTTATCACTCTATCCTCCATAACTCTTAACCTGTTATCGTTTTTTTTACAATCTTTGCTTTTTATTTGAAATGTTGATATAGTTCAATTTAAACTACTTATTAATATGGTTAAGTTTAATCTTACAGCTTTGATAGCAACGCATACATCAATTGTGTCAAGCATAATTGTACATATGTTGCCATCAACATTTTGTAAACATTTCTTTCTATTTGAGTCCTTGGTATCAGCTCCTCCTTTTTCCCTCCTTCCCCCACCTTCCCACCCTCATAAGCCCTTAATAACTTATGAATTATTATTTTCATATGGGGGGATTAGTATGTGTCGATCACTGGGATTGGTTCCCCTCTTGCCCCTCTCTCCCCCCCACCATTCCTTCCACCCTCCTGTTATCACTCCTCCCATTTTGGTCCCTGAGAGGTTTATCTGACCTGGATTCTGTGTGTTGTGAGTTTTTATCTGTACCAGTGTACATGCGTGCGTGTGTGTGTGTGTGTGTGTGTTTAAAAGCCGTGTGTGTGTGTATGTGTGTGTGTGTGTGTGTGTGTGTGTGTGTGTGTTTAAAAGCCCTAGTGGTGTAGTGGTTACACCTGGGGCTGCAATTCACAAGGTCCGCAGTTTGAAATCACCAGCAGCTCCTTGGGGCAAAGATTGGGCTCAGAAACCCACAGGAGGGTCACTGTGAGTCAGCATTGACTTGATGGCAGTGAATTTGTTGTTTTTTTAATTTATATACATATGTACATTTATATACAATATCTATCTATCTATCATCTGTCTACTGACACATGGCCCTGAAAACACAAAAGGAAAAACAAGTGAAAGAGTTTGGGATAAACAAACATATCATTCATACTATAACAACCACTCAAAACTGTCTAACCTTAGAAAAATATGTAGGGCAGAAAGACAAGTTGAAAGTTCAGGATACAAAACCATATATAGTATATAATGTCAGTTTAGTAAGAAAAAAAGAAAGGATAAGAAGAGGACTTGGAATAAATATACAAAACTATTGAGATTTAAATTTTACTTTAACTTTCCTATATTCTCAAAAATTTCTTCAATTATGTTGTTGTTTTTAAAATTAACCTTTTAAAACTAGATGGCCTAATGACAGTAATGCTACTTTAAATATTTGTTGCCTTAAGTTGAATAAAATTCATTATTTTAAAAGTTATGAAAATAACTATAAAACTGAAATTAACCTTTTCCAGAGACAATCTTTGAAGTATTAAAGAAAAGGCTGCCATGCTGAAGATCCAACATTTCTCCCCTCAGTTTGTCCTCTGAAATATCAATTAGGGCAAGTTCATCAGTCAAGTCCTAAAAGACATGAAAAGGCTAAGTAAAATGTTTTGAAAAACGTTCCTACTTCAGGTTTAAGAGAATTGAAAGAAATTTTTGTGTCAACTTTATAACCAAAGTCTATATTTTTAATAGAAAGATGATATAAAATACTAGTTTTTGACTGTATTTAACATGATTAAAAGGAGTCCTAGTGGCATAGTGGTTAAGAGCTCAGCTGTGAACCAAAAGGTTGCCATTTCTAACTCACCAGCTGCTCAGTGGGAGAAAAAATGTGGCAGTGTGCTTCCATCAAGAGACAGCACTGAAACCCTATGGGGCCATCTATTCTGTTCAAGAGGCCTGTGGGAGCTGGAGTCAACTTGATGGCAATGGTCGTCTTTTGGGTTTGGGTTTGGTTTAGATCAGAGATCTGCAAACTGTGGCTCTCAGTATGTACACGTGGCTATGAAGTGAATTGAAAATGAAAACTAGTGTTCCAACGATGATTTCATGTTTGTAAAAATATATTTATGGCTCTCTAAATTTTTTTAATTGCTGTGAGGGACAGGATTGGCTCTTCTGTCTCAAAAAGTTTGCCAGCTCCTGGCTTACAGCATAAATTCCCAACTACTGTTTGCTGCCTACTCCCCACCAGCCGCAATTTTAAAATTTTGTACTATAGCCCATAATCCAGGATAAAGTGTAAGTATATGTTTTTGCAGCCCCCCAGTTCCATAAAGCCCCCCAGTCCCGTAGAAGAAGTAGTGTCCATTACGGGAAACACTGATTTAGAGTGACTGGAAATCTAGGCAAATCATAATCAAATATTAAATGTTTCGCCTTTACATAACTCCTAGGATTTTTTTTAAGTTACCCTTTAAAGGGGCGGTTTAAAACTAACAAAAAGTAATAAAATTATTCAAAGGATATTATTATATTTAACCCTTACGCTAAACTTCTGGATTGGCCGCGGGTGCTTTTAGTATACAGTGAACCCTCGCCACTTCGCGCTTCGACTTCCGCGGCTTCACTCTATCGCGGTTTTTGCGTAACAGCACCCACTGCCTACACCCGCTCCTTCAGAGGAAAAAGACGGTGACCCACCTGTAGAGTACATCCCTTAAGTCATTTCATAGGCTATTGATTACAGTATTTGTAAGAACTATGTATAATAATACTGTATGTGAAATATGTAATACTGTAAACTAGATGCCATAAATAATATAATAAATAATAAATGATAATTGTAACATCCAAAATGTTTTACTGTATTTTCCCTTTTTCATTTAATAAATTGGGTAATACGAGTGTAATGGTGACTAAAGGGTGTTTTTTCATGTCCTTTATGCTCTAACTACGAAAATATTTGATTTACAAATAAGGAATCCTACTTTGCGGAATTTCATTTATCACGGTAGGGTCTAGAACCGATTAACCGCGATAAACGAGGGTTCACTGTAAACTCTTATGGCTAGAACAGAAAGGTAGCTACTTAAGGTGAAATGTCTCTTGTTTTAACCCATCCAATGTTCCATTTTCTAGTAAGAGCATCTCTCTTTCCTTTGGAAACCCATTCCACATGCTTTCAAGCAGCAGAGCTAACGGTTTTCCAATCTAGGGACTGTTGTGGTGTGTGGTCCAGGTGATTCCAGCACAGAGGGGCCCTAGATGACAGGACAGGGTTGCCCTATGGGGCTTGCTATGTAGCACCGTGCCTTTTCTTTTGGGAAGCAGCTGGTGGGTTCAAACTGCCAACCTTTTGGTCACCAGCTGAGTCCACAATCATTGCAGCACCACGCTCCTTAACCTAGGGGTAGATGGGGATATAACCAGATCCAGACGATTGCTGCATCTTTTCCTTCTGCTCATAGCAGTGAGTTCCCAAAGGGATCTATGATCCAGCCATAACCAATAAGCACAATGTATGCGTACATGAGGTTTGAAAATGGAAGATAGCATTTGATCTCAATTTTTCTTTGAATCATGAAAATGACATAAGATTCTAAGTAGAAACTGTTATGGTCATCTTTATTAGCACATGGAAAGACCCTGCTTGATAACTAAACCAATAGAAGAAATATGAGTTTGAACCAAGAACTCCAAAGACTTTGTCTTGGTGGATCTCAATCCAGAATCCAGTAGTACCTGCTCTTGGATTTCCCCGTTACATGAATTATATATACTCTCCCTTTTGTTTACTGTAATTTGTGCTGGATTTTCATCATATGCAAGACAAGGAAGTAGGCTGTATTGCTACCCAACTTCCAAAAGACTCGGTATTATGAACCCTTTTAAGTGATCTTTTGATTAAATTTGCAGACGGATGGCTCCCATTATAGCCCACAAGTCAATGAACGATGAGTGCATCTTTTAAGATCCTTCATCACTTTCCATTTATCCCACAGTACACATCAGTGTGACCCAAGGTCCGGGCCTAGCGGGCGTGCTCACGTGGGGCAGTCAGCGGACTGCGGGAGGTAAAGCGAGAGAACAGACAGCTGCTGCCACGTAGCTTCTGGCTCACGGCTGCCTCTATGTCATGTCACAGAGAGCAACCAGACAGAGAGACCTTCTTCCATGACTCTGGGTGGATTCAAACCACCAGCCTTTCAGTTAGTAGGACACCACTTAACCCAGGGACCCCTAGAAAACAAATGGCCTCCAAAGGTTGATCCCCCCCCCCCATTATAGTTCTACAGTTTCATAATTTATGTTGGGGTAGGCCCTTTTTGACTCACTGTGTTAAGCCATCAGTGAATACTTTATAGTTCTAAACTCATGCCCTTTCGTTTCAGAATCTTTGTTTTATTCTTTGAAATATTTTGTTTCCTCTCATTTCTTGCTGAAACATCAGCAAATTGTTGGACCTCTTGATCTAATTTCATTGCTTTCCTGTATTCCATTTTAGTTGATATGTTGCATTTCTAAAATCTTCATGTAAGTAAAGGGTTGGTGCTTCACTGAAATGTCTGTCCAGAGTTGATCTGGTTCCATTTCCCCAGAGAACGACCCGCTTCTCCCTGCCACATGGAAGGTGGGAAAGGAAGCCGCCTTGGTGACCTTTTCCTTTTCCTCCTACCTTTCAACCAGTCCTTTTGGCTTGTGCCACTTCCCTCCCTTCTCTTCCTTTGGATCCTCCTGGTTCTTTCAATTCCTGAAAATTTTCTGGGGTTTGGGACTTAAACTGGCTTTGTTTCTTCTAATCATCTCCTTTTTTTTCACACACATACCCGAATGGTCTAAATAATATAGCATATCCTCTAAGAGTACAAAACTAGAGGACAGAGTGCCATGGTTTAAGTCATGGCTCCTCCACTTACTAGCCATTTGACCATGTACAATTTACTGAACACCAGCATTCTCATTTATAAATAAAGATAACAGTTCCTAGCTCTTAAGGTTGTGGTGAAGATTAAATAATACCTTTACATTATTGAGAACAAAGAAAACAAAAAAATATTGGGAACAAATAAAATAAAATTAGAGCAACATATTCCTTTCTCTTTCAACATTTCTACTGATTTTTTAATGGCTGCTATCATACTTTTTTTTTCTTTCATACTTTTAATTTACAAGCACCCTTTAAAAATTTTAGCACCCTTTTTCATTGATTTAAAAAAATAGCATTCCATTATTTTATGGCTGTAACATCTTACCTCTTTGAGAGTACTAATTTTTCCCCCCTAAGGAGTTGGGTTTTTAAAGCTTTCTACCTGCTCCACCTTTTTTTTTTTTTGCTTCTTCCAAGTTCGTTTTCCTTTTGGTCTTTCATTTCAGCGGTTTCCCACAAATTTCCGGTCATCCTCAAGTAGTCGTTCCCATTTAAGAATGAGGACTTAACCAGCCGGCAGCTCGTATGGATAGACAAGGTTTGTTAACGGGTACATCACTGTAGTGTGATTTAAAAGGCACCCGATTACTTCACTGGAGCATTTTCAAATGTACACCCAATCGCCTGCCTCGGGGTGTGAAGGTGCTCTGCCGGCGGTCTGAGCACTCACCCTGCAGGCTTGCTGCCCTCATCGACATCGGACATCGACAAGACCCCACAGGTGCATACGTCACTGTCAGCTGCAGAGCGGGCTTACCTTCAATAAGATACAAATAGCGCAAGCCATGCCTACGGCACCTGACCCAACTATGGTGATCTTATTCTGAGAGCGCTTATCTTCGGCAGCGAGACTCTCTATAAGCAGTTCCTTGATCGTTGACATTTTGAGAACCTGGTAGGGATAATGCAATTTTAGTTTATTCAAATGCTTAAACTCTCCGTTATCACAATCCTAACCACACGGAAGATCTAGGGACTGACCTCTTGAGTTTGCAGAAAGTTGGGACAGGGTTAGGAGAAGACCAAGGACAGACTGCCCTGCTCAACGGGTGTGGACTTTAGGGCAAGCGGGGGCAGCCGGTGACTAGTGGAAGGGGTTGAGCACCAAAAGGCATTTGACCACCCTGCCCCCACACACCAATTTCACCCCAATACCAAATGTCGCACAGAGGACCAGAAACGCAGTGCACCGCCTTTACGGAAGGTAGGCAAGGAACATCAGCATTAACCAGTAACTCCAGTTGATGCGCCAGGCCAGTGTCAGTTACGCGTTCTGGACCCCAGCGTAAGCAAGCACGCAGACGCGCCCCACGCATGGCTCCTCATTGGTTCGCAAGCCCCACCCCTGGGTCGTCCTGGCGCAGGTGCATTGGCTCGCACTGCCCACCAGCTCTTCTGGTTTGAACCTTCACTATCGATGCCTATAGTCAAGTGTCGGTGTGGCTTATGTGCTTAATGCTAAGCCGTCCCTATGAAACTGCAAGCAAGGGATATTGGCCTGTTATTTCATTTCCCTTGACTGGCCAGGGATCGACTTTAGGACACAGGCGTCCTTGGCACACCCTCCCTCCAGGCTACTAAGGTTCCAGGCTGGGAAAGAACCCAGCAGAGCACGCTTCCCATCCGCCTCCAAATGATCCTGAAGCATCACTGGTGCGCTGAGAGGAGACCGATCGGCAGCACACTGCTTGCTTAGGGTCTCACCTCAGGAGTGCCCTCCCCATAGGTGAGCTAATGGTCCTCCCTCCGAGAGGGCATGCTTGGGGCACCTTGGCACCCAGGTGAGCTTGGGACCGACCCGCCTGAGTTTGAGGAACCTACTTTTGATGTACACACCATGTATTTATCGGTAAAGAAACTAGTTGATGACAGAATTTCTCTTGAGAGAATCGGTAGTAGTGAAAAGGTAAAGGCAAATCTAGTTTTTGAAGGGAGATCTTCATTTAACCAAGAATTTATTTATAACCCAGCGAAGGCAGCACTTCTTCTACTGTCAAGTATTTACAATGAATCAGTCCCAACCCTGAAGAATAGTCCATTTTCCATATCCTGAGTTTTACATGTAGTTCACGCCATACAACCCTAAGAACCTGCCTGGTTGGGAGGGAGGGAGGAAAAATGAGCTGATACCAAGGGCTCAAACAGAAATAAAATGTTTCGAGAATGATGAGGGCAACACATATACAAATGTGCTTGACGCATGGATGGATGGTGATTAACAGTTGTACGAACACCCCCAATAAAATGATTTTTCTTAAAAGAACCTGCCTGGTTTCCTATTACAATCCCAATAACCAACTTTGACCACACCCTAAAAAGGGCTTCAAGGGCTGGATTTCTTACCCCTCCAACCTCACCACAGCTTCCCCTGGCTCAGGAATTTTTGTTGTTCTCTGGAAAAGTCTCTGGGTTATATAAACAGTGAAATGAGTTTAGCTGCTGAAAGGATGTGGGTTCAAGCTCACTCAGGGGAGCCTCAAAAGCCTGGTGATCTACTTACAAAAAAAACCCATTGAAAACCCCTGGTCCAGTTCTACACGTGGGGTCACCACAAAGTGGCATCAGCTCAAAGGCAACTGGTTCAGGTCGTTACCCCCAAGTTTCCAACCTAAACCAGGCTCATGGTTATAAAAATGTTTTGAGGGGATCCAGGAAGAACGAACCATCAGAACGATCTGGGTTAAAATTGTTAAATACCACCACCTTGTGAGGTTTCCAGAGAGCCAATTTCATTATGTTCAGTTGGCAAAAAAATGTTTAAGTTTTATATTTGTGTCAGTTTCCTCCTTTAATTCTAGTGTACCATACCAAGAATATAGGAGTCCTGCTGGTGCCGTCAGGTATATTGTACTGCTAACTACAAGGCTGTCAGTTCAAACCCACCAGCCACTTCAAGGGAGAAAGATGAGATTATTTGCTCCAACAAGATGGGATAGCTTTGGAAACCCTGAGTCCTGACTCGATGGCACATAACAGTAGCTTTGTGATTTCATATCTTGACATAATAAATTAGCAGCAATGTAATGTCACTGTGCATGGTTTATTTGGTGTTTTAGTTGGTAGAACAGATAGTTGCACTGTTTTTATGTAGGTCTTTTTACATTATATGGCAAATACACACTATTCGGATAAATATCGTACACAAAATAAAATCCTTAGGACAGTTATGCACAAGACATGCAATATTGGATTTACTTTACACACTGGAGCCCAAGATGTGATTGGGGGAAAGAAGCTGGACTTGGCATGTTGAGTGAAGGTACCAGAAATTCTATCACACACAGTAAATACCTTGGCAGTGGGGTCTCGGAGGTGGAGAACAATTGTATGCTAACCAATACAGAATGACACATGGTAAGTATTCACCTCAGGATAGAGTTGTCAGGCTTTATGGCCCATCCCCAGGTCTGACTTTAGGGAACGAATGTTTGTCCTAGATCATCATTTTACTGCTTTAGTCATAGAGCAGATAAAAAGAGCAACATGCACACCCCCCAACTAACATCCATTTGCAGCCCAGACAGTGAAGTGGTTGGTACAAGACTTAAAACTGCAGCTCTTTTTGGATCCCCCAAAGTGTATCTGCACTTTTCTTCAATTGGGCCTCTTCCTCAGTTGTCAGGGTCACCTTCACCACGTCTGAGATTCCATTCTGTCCCAGGATGCACGGGACACTGAGGAAGACGTCCTCGTTTATGCCATAAAGTCCCTGAGGGCAAGAGGAGAATAATCTTACAGTGAGTTTGCATTCTGGGTCTTCCAAGACTCATCCTCTTTAATAGGAAGCTCATTAAATGCAACATGCTAGGTAGAAATCCCTTTCCAGATTCCCAGGTATGCTGTGATGAGTAGTACAAAAAAGCCATTCTGAAAGAGAACCCAAGTTACCCGATGATATACCGTACTTCCCAGCACTGATCATACACTTTAAGAGCCCTAAGCTGCATGTAACAACTCTTTGTAGAGGCTTCCACCCACTTCAACACAATTGAATAAGGGTTTTATTTCTGAGTCAACAGGTTATGTGTTACTGAACCCTAAGCCTAATGCTTAACCATTTTTCCAAAGAAAAATGTGGGTGCATGAATTAATTTTCATTAATGCAATCATTTAATTCCAATAGTTGATGACTTACATTAACCTAATCACTTTCTTAGCAAAGCTTCTAAAAAGCCCCAAATAATGGCATTCAAATACTTTTCTAAATAAGCCCAAATTAAATCTACCACCTGAGTCAATTCCAACTCATAACAACCCTACATGACACAGAGTAGACGTGCCCGTTAGAGTTTCCAAGGCCGTAAATCTACACAGAAGCAGACTGCCACATCCGTGTCCCATGGAGTGGCTGCTGATGGGCTTGAACTGCTCACCTGCAAGCTAGCGCTACACCACCAGGCACGTAGCACAAGCGATATAGACTTACCTTAATCATGGTGGAAATGGGATGTACCCGCCTGAGATTCTTCATTATACTCTCTGC